GCCAGTGCGTCCACCGCGGGGCCTGATCTAAAATGGAGGGCATGAGGGTGCAGCGGCAAGGCCTCCCCTTTGCACGGGCAAGAGGGAAGGGGCCCTTCCCGGGATACCGACCTGTACTGGTGAATATCTTCGAAGGACTTGGTGTTGTTGATGGCAAAGACGCAGAGGAATCCTTCCCCCGTTCTCATGTACTGGTCTCTCATGGCACTGTACTCCTCTTGCCCTGCGGTATCCAAGATGTCTAACAAGCAGGTCTCTCCATCGATGACGACTTGCTTTCTGTAGGAATCCTGCAGGCCAGGAGAGGGAAAGGGAGGAGGATGCGTTAAGGGAGGGCTCGGGTCCGGCCAAGCGAAGGGATGCAGCGAGTGCATCCCTGGGAAGATGCCAGGTCACGCTCTGCCTGGGTTTAGCTCCCATTAAATAGCAGACTCAATCGATTGTTTCAAAAAAGGGAGGGAAAGGAAGAAGAAGAAGAAAAAGAAGAAGAAGAAAAAAAAAAAGGGAGCAGCTGAGCAGGTTTGCCCTTCTCTGGCAGAGCCACAGAGAAGACAGCCCCTGGCTTGCTCTCCCCATTCCCAGCCCTGCCTCTGGCAGACCAGGGGCAGCTTTGTCTCTACCAAGTCGCATAGCCCTCGACAACTATTTTCCTAAGCTTTATTTAGTCCCGGCTAATCCCTTCTGCTGCCGCCCTGCCTGGGCGCTGGAAGGGGATACCCAGGGAAGGCGGCTCCGGCCGGCCAGGGCTTCCAGCCACCATCTGTGATCTGCAGGGCTGGAAGGTGTTTAAGATCACCTGGAAATCCAGCACCTCCAACGCATCTCAGATCAGGCACCAGAGGCAATATGCCACCAGTAAGGCTGCAAACTGGGCTTGATAGTAAACCTCTTCTTCAAACATGAGAGAAAGAAAAAAAAAAAAAAAAATATCACGCTGCGAGAAGGGTGTTTCCCACAACCGGTCTGTGCCCAGAGGGCTCCAGGAGAGGTAAGGACTATCCAGGCAGGTCCTTTGAAGTTGGGGGTTTTCCCTGCAGCAGAGGCAATCGCAACTTATCGCAGATGTGAGAAGGCCTGGAAATCACCCAGGGCGTCCCTCAAAAGGTTTCATTTTCAAGGCAGGCTCCTCAAAGCACTGCTCCTCCCCACCATGCCTCTCCCCTGTGCCTGGTCTCATCAGCAGGGATGCTGTGTGGAGGAACAGCCTCATCCCTCTCGGATAGCCGTCCCCGGGGTACAGCACAGCATCCCCGACTCTCAGCAAGAGAAGGAAGCCAAAACCAAAGGTATGAAAAAGGTGCAAGTCAGCAATATGACCACGACAGCCACTCACAGAGGCTACAGCTGCAGTTTAAAATTAATTCAAATGTCTGCTGCTCTTCCAATGACCACAACAATGTTATCAGATGAGCTTTGCAGGTCTGCAGACAAACAGCCGACACAGCAAAGGTCACCGACAGGACCAGCAGCGGCACAGAAAGGGAATAGGGCCAACGTGGCCTCCACCCTTTGGTTCATTACTACAACGTCAGCTACTGGGGCTAATTAAAGTCTTTCCTCACCTTGTGGAAAGGGCCGCGAAATCAGAGATGAGATCTGCTCTGCCACGACCTTCTCAGCCGTGCCTTCCCAAAAAGGGGACTGCTGACCCACCGGGAATAAGCGTGGAGTGACGGGCTGGCTTCCAGCCGACCGCTCTGAAGGCAACTGGCAGAGTGCCCTGCAGGGGTGTGCTCCCATCTCCAATCAATGATGTACCTGGGGCCTCCTTGGTGCAGGGTAGAAGAGCACTGGTTCCACCTCCGGGGTCCCAGTGCCTGGCAGGGACCGGCAAAGGGGACCCCAGTGCCTGCTCTGCCCAGCAGAACATCCTCCCAGCCCGGCGCCCGGGCTTGTGCCCAGAGGACCAGCCCCTCAGCACACGTGTTTGCAATTAATTGCTGAGTCCCCAGTCACGGGAGGTCTCACCAGCAGACAGCACGCCTACGGAGATGCGATCCCACACCTCAGCTCAGGTCATCAACAGGCCAGCCAGCTCACTAACGAAGCAAAGGCATTAACAGCCTTGCAGGGGATGCTTTGCACCTCACCTCCCGAAGCGAGGGGACAAGCTCTCCCCACCCTTGCTTTGTGTCCAGCTCCATCCGAACCCCCCCGGGATGCTCAGGATGGCGGCTCAGCCGTCCCTGCCACGCTGCCAGGTGACCTGGCTGCCTCGCCCCCACCAGCCACTGGCACCCCGCAGCCTCAATGCTCCTCTGCAGCCCCCCCATGTCCTACCCCCCCTTCTTGCACAAGGGAAAGTGGCCGGACCCCGATGCGAAGCGCCAGGCGGCAGAAACTCCGCTTGGAGTTCAGACTCAGGATCCCAGACGGATGCTGGGAGCACCCCAGGCGTGCTGAGGGACCAGGCCAAGAGGTCCATTTGTTAAACACTACAGTCAGGATACGACCAGAGGCTTGAGAAGCCCATCACTAGCTAACTGCTAAAAGCTGGAAGACGAAGCGCAGAATTTCTCAACACAGTCCGACTCTTTACTCCATCCCTGCTCATTCGCCAGGGGACACTGCCGGCAGCATGAATTTCCTTGGTGCCTTGGCCCTCCCGTTCCCAAAATAAAGGTCTTAAGGCTCCTCGGCAGCCCAAGAGCAGGCGTCCAAGCGCGTGCGTTAGCGGGTTGGCCGGCGTTAAGTTACAAAGCCAGACGGGAGGGCAGGAGGGGAGCAGGCACGCAGTCAGGGTCTCTGCCCCAGAGAGGGGATAAACTCACTTCTCCACCCCTCCTGCCCTGGGCAGCATCTTCTCAGCGCACCCCGACCCGCTCGCACCCGCCTTTGCAGCGCAGCCTGCGCTCGAGTCATTTAAGCAACGGGTAAAGCCTCTGCTCCGTGCACGTATACTCTTTTTTTTTTCCCTTTTATCCTGCTCATTTCAGCATTGCTGTGCTGTTTGTTAGCCGGCTGAACAGTCAGAGTCAGCTCCTGGGCATGATCCAAAGCAGCTTAGTCACAGGAGGGTGGTTTGTTGGTCACATTCAGATGGCCGGCAGGTAACTCTCTCTGAGTCCTAAATCCCCATAAAATGAAGCATAATTAAAAGGAGTCACCCTGGAATGAGTGAGAAGATGGCCAGGGTGGGGGGGATGCGGGGCACGACCGAGGGAGCTGCAAAGGCATCAGGGCTGGTGGGACCTGCAGCTGGAAAAGCAGCGGGGGCGAGAGGGGTAAAGAGTAGCTTGTGGCTGGCGGAGGGAGAG